TCATAAAAGACACGGGGCGCTTCATCACTTTTCTGAATCACCTCAACTGTCTTCGACATGTTAATAGCTTTCTTCCCTCCGGCTTTCATGCCAGCAATTATAGCATCTCTATAGGCTTTAAGTTGAGCCATATCTGCGGCATTTACATTCCAGTCAGGATCGGTGTTAGGGTAATGTGTTGCGGCCCATGCTGCCGGATTGGCTTGATTTAAAGCACGGGCTCTCTCCTCTAGCGCCTCAATGGCCGCTTGGTTAATCCTTGTCCTTTCCTCATTATTGAACAATGTCATTAATAACTGCTGGCAATCAGCCCATGTCGGGTTATGTGTCTGAACTATCGAGGTGAACAGATTGGTCATAGCTTGTGGTTTCTCAGTGTACGAGGAATTGTGGGTCTTCCAATTCAAGAGATCGGTAGTCGTGAACGGGACATATACGAAGACTGGGTCAGCATGTGCCATTTGACCTGCGGCATATATATAGGCTGACCCAGGATTCAGACGAAGAGGCATCTGATAATGTTTTAATTGTTGGGTACCGGTCAGTTGTCGGGTTAGTATGGGGCTACGTGGAGGGGCGTCAGTTAAAGGTTCCGGCCGAGAGGTAATAGGGCATGAGGATGTGGGAACTTGATTTTGGGAAAAGTTAGTGAATAGTATACTCCGAGCCGAGCTAGAAGAAGCTTGACCGGAAGTTTGAAGTGGCGCCAAATCAGGATATTCAAATCTAATGGGGGTTGGTCCTGGTTCCGGAAGGGGAGTTTTAATACGAGGGGGGGTGGATTCTGTACTGGAGTAGGAAGCGGAAGTGGATGGGGGCAATAGGGAAGGGGTGCAGAGCTTCCTGCATTCGCGTCACTTCCTCTTAAAGGAAAGTAAGGAGGCGGCAAAGGGATCTCGGACTCAGGGGGCGTGTCCAAAATGGGCCTAACACCAGTCCTAGTGGACAAACAAGTCCTGGCCACCATGAGACGACATTGCTCCTCATGGCATATCCGGATCCATTTTGGCGAGTCGTTTACGGCCTGCCCCCAACAATCAATGTATGGAAACTGTCCGTAAAGTTCAGGCCTACCTGATACAGCCACGTGTACACGCTGTACCAGGGTTGGATCCAAACTGCCACGCGGCGGCCATGCCGCAACCAAAATAGGCCACTCCCTAGTGCACAAAGTGACCAAACGTACAGGAGACATTTTAACCCCAAAATCACATGTTTTGAATCCCTTTTAAAATTCTTTACCATACAACCTAAGGGATCCGAAATCGTTGACTCTGACGCGCCCATACTTATCAATGGAACGTCGTTGACAACGAATACTATGCACGCGCTCTTATTCAACAGTCACACCC